ATGCTGCCGAAGCACAGAGTCAACTGAAACTGAGGAATACATTTCAGGTAACGTACAATTTTATGATTCAATAAGATTCAATATATAATTGAGCGCGATATTCAATTCTTAATGACATTATTAATTTATTAAAATATTTTTTTCTTTTCAGAGGAGGAAAACATCATCGACGAGTCAGATGATGATGAAAAAGCTAGTTGTGAAGTGTCGGATGATGATGAGGATAATTGATGTGAAAATTAATGTAGATTACACTTCAATTAATAAAATATATTGTATCTATCATTTTTATTTTTATTTAATGTCACTCGCACTGCATGCATTTACGTTACGCCTCTTACTCGCGCGCCCTTAGCAGCTTTCCCCTCACCTGTCAAGGTCGTATGCTATTAAAAACTGCCTGTCATTGTACAGATTGTTTTTAAAACGCTTATTAAAGAACATATCTAAATTTCAACTATACAGAAGAAAGTTTATTTTACTTCCTAAATTGTGCACCTTTCGATTCACCAGGCAAGTACTTTTGTTCACTGCAATCGCCTGTCAATTTTTTTTTCATAATTTACGATAAATAAACTAAATCATATTAAATTTTTAAGCTTACAGTAACAAGTTTTTGTATCTTATTTATTTTACAATTTAAAAAAATAAAAGGGCTGATGACGTGCAGGGCTGATGCCTGCCAGGTCATGGTTATTGCCGTTAGAGTGGTATAAATCATCATTCTACAAATTTCTAGCGTTACAGGAAGACCATTACTCGAATAGTTCCACGTGGAATTGATCGATCCCTACGATTCTCTCTCATAGCTGCGTCCATTATTAACAATAAGTAGATGGACTGATATTAACAAAAATGTTATTGTTATTTACATTTGGTATAATAATTTATATAAATGTTAAATAATAATTTAAATTCTCGGAAAAAGTCCACGTGGACGCGAATAAATTGCCAGGATCAATCCGAAAACTCGCACTATATAATCATAGAAGTAACGAGAAATTTTTCTTTTCGAAGGACTTTTGCTATCAATAGTGTCACGCAGTGGACATTTAGAGTAACTCCAAAAACCGTTTTAGACTTTAAAACATATTTCAAAATTAATTAAATATTCCATATTTATAACGTNAATTGCGTTCGATGTTTTAGGGCTAGATCGGGTGCTAAGATACTTATCATGGCAAACCTTCCACGGGAGCGTGTTACAGTTATGAATCCCTTCAATGTTACCGGAGTGGATTACGCGGGTCCCTTCACTTTGAAGGATCGTTTAGGTCGTGGCTTTAAATTAATTAAAGGGTACGTATGTTTGTTTATTTGTTTCACAAGCAAGGCAATGCACCTGGAATTAGTTACCAGTCTAAGCACTGAATCATTTATGGCTGCGTTAAGACGGTTTGCTTCTCGCAAGGGAAGACCATTGCAGATTTTCTCCGATAATGGAACCAATTTTGTTGGAGCACAGGGTCAGTTAAACAACCTTCATGATTTTTACCAAAGTGCAGGAAATGAAATAGTGAATAGCTGTGCGAACGATAATATTAATTGGCAATTCATTCCCCCTAACTCACCACATTTTGGCGGGTTATGGGAGCCGGGAATAAAGAGCGTAAAGTCTCATTTGAGTAAGGTCTTAACTAATACTAAATTAACATACGAAGAGTTTCTTACCGTTCTGATTCAAGTTGAGGGTACTTTAAGTTCCAGACCTTTGCATCCCATGTCATCCAATTCTAATGACTTGCAACCCTTAACTCCGTCACATTTCCTCATCAGAAAACCATTAGTCGCGATTCCTGATCCAGATGTCCAGCATATACCAATCAACAGGCTGTCCCGTTTTCAACTTATACAGCACATCCAACAAGGGTTTTGGAAACGCTGGTCGAGAGGCTATCTATCTAGTCTGCAACAGAAGGGAAAATGGAAACAAGCTTCGACGAATCTTGCGGTTATACGTTGGTCTTAATTAAGCAGGACAACTACCATCGGGTTGTTGGCTCATGGGGCGAGTGGTAGAAATTCATCCAGACAAGGAGGGAGTAGTGCGCGTAGTTAGTGTTCGTACTGCAAAGGGCCTTTATAAACAAGCGGTAACGCGTTTGTGTCCGCTTCCCATACCAAAAGATGAAGACATACCTGTAATGTTAAAAACTTTTATTACTACATCTATTGTTATTTTTAAATGATTCAATGTTCATTTACATTATATTACTCATTTATACTTACCTTACTATTTTTTGTATTTCTTGAACTTACCAGTTCAATGCGGGGAGTGTTACGAGTATTTCACCACACGTGGCAACGGCGCGTGTGGTCTAAAGGAACGTGGCAACGGTGCGTTTGAATTAAGGGCATCGCCACCCAAAAGGAAGGGCAGATGGCTGCCAACAACCAAGAACGCATAACGTTTATTTTATTGAGTTTTATTATTTTTGTTTTACACTAGTTTCTTTTATGATAATTAAATAAAGATCATTAAAAAACTACAGTCCATTCTATCGTCCAAGAACGCTAATGGTAAAATTTGATTATGTGTAGAACCTTCAGATATAAACTCAAATTGTCCGAAAACCAAAATTAGGTAATAGTATAGAAGAGGTTTGTTCAAATGTAGTAAGGAAAACCTTGTTGAGGGCTATCACCATTTCGAACTGGGTAATGATTCCTCATGGGAGTGTTGTTTTGTAACTCCCTTTGGTATATATATAGATTTTTCGTGTCGCCTTACGGTCTATCAAATTTGCAAGACCTTTTTCAAGAAGTTGGAAGAAATTTTTCAAATATAAAAAATGTAATAATTTGCCATGACGATATGATTGTAACTAGAACGAAACAAGAACATGATGAGGCTGTTACAGAAATTATAAAGCGAGCAAAACAACTTAATACTAAATTTAACAAAGAAAAATTTCAATATTGCCAAAACATAATTAAATTTATGGGTCATACGTTTTCAGAGAAGGGTACGGAGATTGGCCCAGATAGAGTCGAATCTTTATGCAAACTAAAGCCACCTACCATCAAATGTGAACTACAAAGAGTATTAGGTTCAATTAACTTAGTAAGACGTTATATAAAAAACTTGACCAAACTAATGCACCCTCTATGTAAACTATTAAGGGCCAACACTGAATGGTTTTGCTTACCTAAGCAGTTAGAGGTTTTCGATAAGCTTAAAACGATGATTAGTCAGTCAGCGCTTGTTCCTTTTGACCTTTCTAGAAAATCGGTTTTGCAGTGTAACGCGTCAAAAAATGGACTAGGTTCCTGCATGTTTCAGCAGTACGGAAACAATATTCTGGTAGGTTTTGCGTACAATAAATGATCATAAAGTAAATTACAGTCAGACAGTCAGAATGAAAAAGAATTACTTACTATTCATTACGGTACTCAAAAATTTCACGATTTTATTTACAAATATGATACCGATGTGCAATCCGACCATAAACCTGATCCTGCCTAAAATTATGAAGAAGCCTATTCATAAAATAAAATTTGTAAGATTAGAGCTACTAAAACTAAAACCTGCTAAAATATTGTCTAAATGTTTATTATATACCTGATATTCGCGACTGTTCAGTTGTTTTTCGCAAAATTCTATGATTTCGATTGCCTAATCCAAAAGAACCCACTATTGCACCGTCTTTACTTTCATCTACTACTGCGTTGGAGTCTCCTACAACTATTAGGTTTTCCTGCCCTATCACTAAACTTAACACGTATTCTACATCTGCATATACCTCTTCAACGTCTTCATCGTTGTAAGATGGTGTATGCATATAGACCTTCACTATTACCGTTTTTACCGGTTTCGAACTTAGTTTAACCATAACTATGCTATCGCTTTTTTTGTAAATAACTATACTCTGTTCTGCTTTCCTACGCATTACAATTCCTACCCCCGAATTGTCTTCCACCGATCCTGTATGTATTATTCTAAAGTCTCCACTCCAGAAATCTTCAGCTTCTAACAAATGGACTTCAGTAAGGCCTACTGTATCTAATTCTAATCTATTCATTTCAACTTTCAAATTTGCTAATTTCCCTACTTGTCTCATTGTCCTAACATTCCACGCTCCGACTCGTGAAATATTGTACCTTCCCCGATGACACTTATTGATTACTTCCGAAGTGCTTTACCCCAGAAGACGTCATCATTTGTTTTTTGTAGATTTATACGTTGAACACGGTATCACAATGTGGTGTTTTCCCGTTGCCTTCCACATATCAGTATTGTGCTTCAAAATGTCATACCGCCATACAAAGAGCTACTGCCCTCTTTCAGGGACTTGTCTTGGTCTGGTTTCTCGTTAAGAAACCCACCATTATGGTTGAAACTATGATCCGGCTCCCTAAATCCTGGAAACTCGTAAGATCATCAACGCACTCTTGTTTGTACAAGAACTTCGTCAAGATTTAAGTCCCGTCAGATCCCTTTTTATCGTAATAATTTTTTAATTTTTTATAAGTAATATTCGTTAGTGATGTTCTCAAATACCTAATAGGTCATGACGGTAATTACTTGTAATATTTGCAATTATTTGGGTATCTAAAATGTATATTAAATTAATAACGTATTTGGCGTATATTGGTATAAATATTAAGCGTTTTAGCGTGTTAAATTTGTGCGCTGCTGGATATATTATTCAATATTTGAAAACACTCTTATAAAAGTTTCCAAGCTATTTTATTCGTTGTAGACACAAGTAGGCAATAAAATACAAAACGTGTTTCGTTTGAATGATGTCATAATATTGTAATTCCAGCCAGGCGTAAACATGGGCAGTTTTATTGCCTGAGCCGCCACTTTACGTATAGTATATTTGACAACGATAAACGATCCTAGGGGTGTCCCATTTTTGAATTTAAAGAAAAAATTCCACCTCTAAGGAAGAAAAATTAGGGAATATTTGGGTATACTATTTTAACCTTACGTTAGTATACTGATAATTACTACGATTTTTATTATGTACATGTTTTAAATAAAACGAGACGGGTTTTCGTTATAAGTTATATTTTCTGTATACAAGCCCAAACTTATGGATTATAAGTATTAAAAAATTCAAATTTTTACAAAACTCCATACACGAAAGTACCATGTATAGAATGCTCCATACACACCATACCTACACATCCCGCTAACCTTCTGTACATTGATGTATCCGTTGTCAATAAGCAATACATAACATTGATATATGTAATAACCAAAAGGGAGTAGTTTGTTTTAAAGGTCATTGTTTAAAATGAAGCGGTTTCCTTCAGATTGCTTTCCGGAGTAGTGGTAGGTCAATTTTCCGAAAGCTCCTGGAATATATTTTCTATTAAAAATCCAACATCACTTTGGTCCAGTCCATATGTACTAGACTATAGGATGGCACACACTCCTATTCTAAATTTCGTGCCAATGTGCGTTCACTCAAAATGTGGGTCTATTGTTCACGTGACGATAAAAAAAATCCAAATTTTGTTATTTAATCGACGAACGTCTTTGCGACCCTGTACCTCTGACAGCGATAAACGTCATTCCTCTTTGTAATCGCAAATTGCACATTTGCAACTACAGCAAGCATAGTCAAGTGTGCCATCTTTATAGTGTAATACCCTTGGTCCAGTCATAAAATAGTTTATAATATATATATATATACCAAATTAGAGATTAAAATAATTATCTTAATTGAAATAATGATAAAGAACACTTCGTATTGTTTCGTATTCTTTTTCGAAATTTAGATATTTCAGAACTGCTAAAAGATATCACCGAAATACAAGCAATAATAAATGTGTAAGCGTATTTTATTCCCATCATGAACTACGGAATAATATAGCGACCAAGTAAAAAATGATGATAAAAGATGAATGAAGTCACCCATGACAGAGAGAATGAGTTGTCTTCATGTACTCGTGCGTAGAGTTTATTAGCTGTACCTAATATCTTCGCTACTTAATTATGATAAATTCAAAAGTAATTTGAGTTGCGTTAGATATTCACTTTTTATTTTATTCACATTTAGGTAATTATTGATAGTTTTGATTTATAATATTCCCAGAAGTCTATTGTTAAAATAAAAATTCATAATAAAATATTTTTTCCGTTTGCAATACAATTAAAAGAAAATATATATTAAA